AAATAAAAAAATTGAATTTTCTCTCAATTATTTCATGGTCCAGGCTTTAAAGGGTTAAGTTGTCAGTTGCAAACTGGTTCAGCTACATCCGGTTAGCAAAATTGAGATACAACAACAACAACAACAACAACAAAAAAACAACTCTAAGACGTTTAAATCCAATAAAGTCGTAAAAAACTAACTTACCAAACTGGAAAACAAGGCTGTCTATATTATCGAGGGAATGTTGCTCCTCCATGTTAGGTAGCAAACGGATAATCAAGTAAATAACGACGTTAACACTTTAGAGCTGAAAGAAATGACAGTGTTGTTATTTTAACACGGGATACTATCGGTTGTATAATAATGCAGGCCGATAGTTTGCGATGTCTTATTATACCAAAAAGATCGTCCAAAGAAACAAACAGGTGTTTGCTGCCTAATTAACGGTTTTAGTTACCATGGCAACCACAGCGGACCTTAGCGGATAACTAACAGAGCTGTTCCAAAACCTCCCAAATACAAACATGATTAGCAAAAAAATCATTATGAGACATACATCAAATTAATGTCAAAAGATTGGTGTCAAGTTGATTTACTTCTGATAATTAGATATCAGAGTTTGACGTCACTTTGATGGTTAATTGACATCTTTGGCCCACTGGGAATAAGCTGTAGTTAAATATCTCACTTTAAATAGTAAAAAAGGATTCAAAATTTAACAAAGTAAACCTTTGATTTGAAAATTAAATATTTAGCTGGCACCAAGTTAAATATTTATTTATCAAAGTGAATATTAAGTAAATATTACGTTTGGAGCAAAATTTTTATCTAAGAAACTAAATATTTGACTTGCAAACTAAGTATTTGCTCCAAGCTAATTATTTATTTACCAACCTAAGTATTTGTTTTGTAAAATAATAATTTAGGTAAAACAATAAATATTTATTTTGAATGATAATAATTTGAGTTTGCTGCTAAATATTTATTTAACAAACTTAATATTTGATTTGCAAACTAAGTATTTAGTTTAGAGCTTAATATTCATTTAACAAACTAAATATGTGATTTGAAAACTAAATATTTAGCTCCAAACTAAATATCGATTTAATAAACTAAGTATTTATTTTTGGAAAATAATAAATATTTATTTTTTAACTGGCAATCTAAATATTTAGTCTGGAACGACTTGGAAAAAAAATAAACCCATTATTTTTCTCTTTAAAAACGCTAAATAACCATAAATATTGTTCCTAATTTTTGTCAACTTAACTTTACAAAAGAAACCCTATATCAAAATATTATAAATAGAACTATTTCTTATAACAGGCTACAAACTTTCTCAAAATAATTGCTTCAAAAATAAAATATGGACTCTGTATTTGATGTTCTTTTATTTGCAAAGACAAAATGCTACTTTTGTATTTTATAAGCAAGGCTGATTTGAATGTAATCAACCTTGTTATGCTTATTTTACCGCATCATTTGACTTAAATCTTTTTGGATTCTCAAAGACTTTTACCGCTTTCTCTCTGCGCAAAGCGTTTGACATTTTTGCTCCTAATTCATGTATTTTTCTCCCCAAACAGAGAGTTATTATGTTGCTGCTGGAGCATGGGGAGAGCATGGATTGGTCTGATTTTGGAGTTGTTTTTTGCGGAGGGGTGGGATTAGTGCTATTCCTGAAGCCATTCTACGCAGCGCATCTGTATGCTGGGAATCAGCGCTGGGTGTGTTTGTGTGCCGCGTTCGTGCGATGTGTTATCAAGATCCGCTGCTTTATTCTCACTCGGCGCCGTTTTTCTCTGTCTGTTTAACGGTAAGTGCGCACATCGATGGAAACATTGAGAGATATTGGCTGATATCCACCGGCTGCTGTGTGCAGACAAAAGAGCGGACATGGGTGGGATTCAAATGGGAGGAGAATCAGCTGTATGAAGGTTTGCATTGTTGATTTTACCCACTCCTGTAAAAATCTATGCATATTTTGCGATTTATAACCTCATTCTTTCATATATACTTGCCTTTAAGGAGGAAAGCTGATAATAATTCGCTTTAAAAATAATGTCTTTTATCCTAAACACCCCCCTCCGGCCCCAACCCCAACCAATCCAGGCTATCCTGCTTTGTTTTCTACATCCGCTGCCATTCCAGATGGTGTTAGATCTCTAATATCTTGGGTGTAAACAGTCTGCTGCAGGACACAGAGAAAAGAGAAATAATTATGAGAAAATGTGGCAGATGAGGCCTTCATACTAGGGATAAATAATAAGTGAGCTTTCCCTAACTGCTCTCTCTTCCTCTCTGTGTTTGTGTCTGTGTGTGGATTTCCTCTCAGTAATCTCAACTCGCATATATCTCATCAGAAGAGTACCCAGCCATTCAGAGTTCACTGGTTTCAAGGAGAGGATGGCCCATGTGGAGGAAGCCCACACTGAAGGGGAGAGCAGCCCTCAGATGGTCTCCTTAAGGTCAGATGTGTCGGTGAGCCAAGGGAACGATGGAGAAGTGGGACCATCCATGAGGAGGAAGAGGAGGAAGAAGAAAGAGCCCCGTCCAGAGTCCATCATCGTGTACCGCTCTGAAATGGAGAGAGCACCAGGAGAGGAGCAGAGCGGGGAGGAGGGAGGAGAAAGGACCCTGGAGGAAGGAGCCAAGTTCCTGGGAACACCAACAGGAGAAGGTGAGAGCTTTTCCCAGGACTTGTAGAGCAATATGCAGATTGGAATGTGGTTTGGACAGTTTAGTCCAAACCAAATCCTTCATTTTATTGGATTGTCGTCCATCCACTGAAAGCAAACCTTTGAAAATGGCAAACGTCCTATCCCTCGACTACATCCACCCACCAACCTATAAATACCTTTAGTCTCTGCCCTCTCAATTTAAATTAGCCTATCACATGGCAGGGAGAGAAAAGAAAACAATTAAGGTACGATTAAAGATAAAATAATGTGGACAACCATAACAGTCATTTACCAATAATAGAAAATAAATAAAAGCCAATCTGTCATGTATATACGTACACTCACAAGTCCTCTCATATTTTTCTCTTAATCACTTTGCATTTCTACACCTTCATAGTCAACCAATCAAAGTCTCCTCCCAGCTCACATCCTGTTCAGCTGCAAAACAAAACATGCTGAGTCCAGCTTAGGTAAATAGCAGCTTATAGCTGCTGTTCCTAACTCCTGTAAAGGGAAACCTTATAGCTGTGGATGGGAATGTCCTAATGTCCCTATGCTAAATGAACTATCTTTATGAAGCCTCCTGCTTCCTTTTCCTACCTCCTTCCTTACTTCCAGCCCTATTCAGACAGAACTTATCATGACACACTTCTGACTTGGCTAATTCAAATGAAGCCATGGTCACAACAGAACCACACCGAAAAGGTAATTCATTGTTTTACTATTTACAGTGGTGCACAATAGATTATACAATTATGAAGTAGTTAAGTAAGAACTTACTGCTTTATAACACAATTGTTATTTATAACAATATTTTTACAATTATACACCCGCTTTTTTTCCATAATATAACCCAAAAAATCCTGTTGTGGAAAAATTTAAACATTTGATTTCTAGTTAACATGCAATCTACTTTTGCTTAGTTACACAATAAAACAGAACAAAATACAAAAAACCCAATAAAGTATATATTTGTGTATAAAGTAATATTTAATTCCTACTGAAAAGCACTTATCTGAACTCTTGTCCCACAGTGACTGACAGAGTTATGTTTCCATTTTTATCAGAACATTTGCAATTACTAATTAACAGGAAATAAGTAAATTATTTTATTTTTCTTTACAAAAACTGCACAAGAAAAGAAAACCTTTTCTTCCCTCTGAAGGGAAAAAATACATGTTTATTCACATGTAAGACATCAAGCTGCACTTGGGAAAAGAATCCTTAGAAATCAGTTTCCACTCACCGTTGTGTTTTCAAAATTATTTGAACCTTTATTTAATTAGGAAAAGTCTCATTAGGATTAAAAATCTCTTCTTCAATAGCCTCCTGGCCAAGACCGGCAGCAGGGTTACATGTCAGTAATATTCATCCACACATATACCAAACGACAGGTACAGCAGGTTTTACAATATAATTAAAAATAATCAGTTAAAAAGAAATACGTGTTAAAGTGACAGCATT